TTGCATTTACTTGGGTTGAATTTTAGTAGCCATTTGTTGGAACATTCATTTAGTCCGTCTAGGTCATCTTGAAGCCTCATCTATCTTCCTCTGTTTTAATCCTCCTCATAATTTATGCATCATCAGCAAACAATGAGGGGAATGATTTTATTCCCTCTGGAAGATCATGCGTGAGAGTGAGCGACGCGCACAAACCCAAGCTTCCTGAAACACGCTGTACAATGACCCACGGGCCGTCGTGACTAGACACGTTAAGGATTCCTGTTCTGGTGTTTTTACAGGAACGTGCCACAGCCTTGAGAGCCCCGCAACACCACCAGCAGCACACACGGCAGCATAAAGTCGGGACAAATCAGCAACAGGTGTAACTTAACGATTTACACCGCCTCTGTTGTCATATAGAGGCATAAATCTCACCATCTGCAGGACCTGAGGCCTCGCACACGACCAACATGTCGTCCCCCACTTGCTAGTCTCTCCCGGGAGTAGTATTTACGTATTTGCTAATATGAAAAACAAACTAAAATTTGTTAGTACTGCATGTTTAATTACATTAATTGTGTAAATTTGTGGTGGTGAGGGAAAGACAAGGTGAGCCAATCCCCCCCCCCCCCCCCCAAGAGTGCTACAGGGGTGCCGTGTATTCACCCAATCCTCATTTGCCACCTCACTCTCCACTCGATAATACTGACAGATGGCTATAATAATTATTACACTGAAAATGGTGATCAGGTGACTGTTCCGTTTTCTCTCGTCATATAAATAATAAATGATATGGAAGAAATAGACGATCAAAAGTTACAATAATATGTGATTATATATATGTTTAGTGTGGACGTGTTCAAGGCCGGTGAGTGTTGGAGCCTAACTGGACCGTTACCCAGCCGCACCTTCCTTTGTTCCCAGCTTTGTTTCCTCCCATTTCTCTACTCCCGCTCTTGTTTATCTTATCACTGCCGTCTCTCTCCTATGTAGTCATACTGGCTTAGCGCTTTCTCCTAAAAAATTCCTTAACTTAACTTCCGTTTTTCTTTATGTTCAGCTTGAGCTCTCTGGCGGTGGCAGTAGCCAGTAATATTGACACTCAACAGCACCACCCGCCTGTAATAATTCATGAAGTGGCCCCCCCTCCCTCTGGTGCAGGGGTGCCACGCCCCCTCCCTCTGGTGCAGGGGAGCCACGACCCCCTCCCTCTGGTGCAGGGGTGCCACGACCCCCTCCCTCTGGTGCAGGGGTGCCACGACCCCCTCCCTCTGGTGCAGGGGTGCCTCGACCCCCTCCCTCTGGTGCAGGGGTGCCTCGACCCCCCTCCCTCTGGTGCAGGGGTGCCTCGACCCCCTCCCTCTGGTGCAGGGGTGCCTCGACCCCCCTCCCTCTGGTGCAGGGGTGCCACGACCCCCTCCCTCTGGTGCAGGGGTGCCTCGACCCCCTCCCTCTGGTGCAGGGGTGCCTCGACCCCCCTCCCTCTGGTGCAGGGGTGCCTCGACCCCCCTCCCTCTGGTGCAGGGGTGCCACGACCCCTTCCCTCTGGTGCAGGGGTGGCACGACCCCCTCCCTCTGGTGCAGGGGTGCCACGACCCCCTCCCTCTGGTGCAGGGGTGCCACGACCTCCCTCCCTCTGGTGCTGGGGTGCCTCGACCCCCTCCCTCTGGTGCAGGGGTGCCACGACCCCCTCCCTCTGGTGCAGGGGTGCCACGACCCCCTCCCTCTGGTGCAGGGGTGCCTCGACCCCCTCCCTCTGGTGCAGGGAGCCACGACCCCCTCCCTCTGGTGCAGGGGTGCCACGACCCCCTCCCTCTGGTGCAGGGGTGCCACGACCCCCTCCCTCTGGTGCTGGGGTGCCACGACCCCCTCCCTCTGGTGCAGGGGTGCCACAACCCCCTCCCTCTAGTGCAGGGGAGCCACGACCCCCTTCCTCTGGTGCAGGGGTGCCTCGACCCCCTCCCTCTGGTGCAGGGGTGCCACGACCCCCTCCCTCTGGTGCAGGGGTGCCTCGATCCCCCCCCCAGGTACCGGGGTGCCTTGATCCCCCCCTCCCCAGGTACCGGGGTGCCTCGATCCCCCCCAGGTACCGGGGTGCCTTGATCCCCCCCCCTCCCCAGGTACCGGGGTGCCTCGATCCCCCCCCCCAGGTACCGGGGTGCCTCGATCCCCCCCCAGGTACCGGGGTGCCTTGATCCCCCCCTCCCCAGGTACCGGGGTGCCTCGATCCCCCCCCCCCAGGTACCGGGGTGCCTTGATCCCCCCCTCCCCAGGTACCGGGGTGCCTCGATCCCCCCCAGGTACCGGGGTGCCTCGATCCCCCCCCCAGGTACCGGGGTGCCTCGATCCCCCCCCCCAAGGTACCGGGGTGCCTCGATCCCCCCCCCAGGTACCGGGGTGCCTTGATCCCCCCCTCCCCAGGTACCGGGGTGCCTCGATCCCCCCCCCCCAAGGTACCGGGGTGCCTCGATCCCCCCTCCCCAGGTACCGGGGTGCCTCGATCCCCCCCCCAAGGTACCGGGGTGCCTTGATCCCCCCTCCCCAGGTACCGGGGTGCCTCGATCCCCCCCCAGGTACCGGGGTGCCTCGATCCCCCCCCCAGGTACCGGGGTGCCTTGATCCCCCCCCAGGTACTGGGGTGCCTCGATCCCCCCCTCCCCAGGTACCGGGGTGCCTCGATCCCCCCCCCAGGTACCGGGGTGCCTCGATCCCCCCCCAGGTACCGGGGTGCCTCGATCCCCCCCCCCCAGGTACCGGGGTGCCTCGATCCCCCCCCAAGGTACCGGGGTGCCTTGATCCCCCCCTCCCCAGGTACCGGGGTGCCTTGATCCCCCCCTCCCCAGGTACCGGGGTGCCTTGATCCCCCCCTCCCCAGGTACCGGGGTGCCTCGATCCCCCCCTCCCCAGGTACCGGGGTGCCTCGATCCCCCCCCAGGTACCGGGGTGCCTCGATCCCCCCCTCCCCAGGTACCGGGGTGCCTCGATCCCCCCCTCCCCAGGTACCGGGGTGCCTTGATCCCCCCCTCCCCAGGTACCGGGGTGCCTTGATCCCCCCCTCCCCAGGTACCGGGGTGCCTTGATCCCCCCCTCCCCAGGTACCGGGGTGCCTCGATCCCCCCCCCAGGTACCGGGGTGCCTTGATCCCCCCCTCCCCAGGTACCGGGGTGCCTCGATCCCCCCCCCCAGGTACCGGGGTGCCTTGATCCCCCCTCCCCAGGTACCGGGGTGCCTCGATCCCCCCCTCCCCAGGTACCGGGGTGCCTCGATCCCCCCCCAAGGTACCGGGGTGCCTTGATCCCCCCCTCCCCAGGTACCGGGGTGCCTTGATCCCCCCCGCCCCAGGAACCGGGGTGCCTTGATCCCCCCCTCCCCAGGTACCGGGGTGCCTCGATCCCCCCCTCCCCAGGTACCGGGGTGCCTCGATCCCCCCCCCCAGGTACCGGGGTGCCTCGATCCCCCCCCCCCCAGGTACCGGGGGGCCTCGATTCCCCTCCAGGTACCGGGGTGCCTCGATCCCCCCCCTCAGGTACCAGGGTGCCTCGATTCCCCCCCCCAGGTACCGGGGTGCCTCGATCCCTCAGTCAATGACGAGCCGTACCAGGCCTCTCTCTAATTTGAAATTCTAATTTGAAATGGCAGTAAAGTCCATGCCCTCGCCATCCGGAGGAAGGAAGAACAAAGGTATAAGACTTCCAACCACTAGCCGAGACGTACCAAGCTATGTGAAGAAGAGAAGGAGAAGAGAAGGGAAAAGAGAAAGAGAGAGGAGAGAGAGAGAGAGGGAGGGAGGTGGGGAGAGAGAGGGAGAGAGAGAGAGAGAGAGAGGGAGGGAGGTGGGGAGAGAGAGAGGGGGGGAGAGAGAGAGAGAGAGAGAGAGAGAGAGAGGGGGTGGGAGAGAGAGAGAGAGGGGGAGGTGGGGAGAGAGAGAGAGAGGGGGGAGAGAGAGAGAGAGAGAGAGAGAGAGAGAGAGGGGGGGGGAGGGGATGGGATGAGATGGTATGAGGGGTGCCTTTCCTTCGTGGTACTGGGGTACCACCACTTCTCTGGTAATTTAAGAGAACCTCCCGCCTACAAGTCAGGGACCTTCCGGACAATATCAGTTCATTAGAGAGGAAGGTGATCTGCCCTTCATCCTACGCTGCTGCACGGGTCTTCTCACTCCTCTTATCCTCCTCCTAACTTAGCCCTCGGTTGGGTTAATCTTACAGCCGTTTTTAAGACTACCTTTTGAGTGTGTTAAGAACCCCTTGCAGGTTATTGTACAGTGTTACCTTAACCTACAGGCACACTGGCCACGTGGCCAGGGCCGCCCCCCCCCCATGATTCATACAGGCACACTGGCCACGTGGCCAGGGCCGCCCCCCCCATGATTCATACAGGCACACTGGCCACGTGGCCAGGGCCGCCCCCCCCCCATGATTCATACAGGCACACTGGGCACGTGGCCAGGGCCGCCCCCCCCCCCACGATTCTATAGGGCCCATCATGCAGTGCTGCCATATTGTTCATGAGAGATCTCTTGGCTGAGTGGATAATTACTCGACCTCCCACTGAAGCCTGGGATTCAATTCCCTTTTTCAAAAGATGTTTATGGTATAAATATTGTGCATAACTATCTGATGGTTATGGGGGGGGGGTATCTGCACTTTAGCGGACGAGCTTGACCCATCACCTAGGGTTGGAGGCCCAGTGCATTGTTCCGCCCAGGGCTTACAATGTTGTTAAGACGGTCCTCGTAATGCAGTCCTCTTCTGTCTGATTTTCATTAGCGTTGTATCATTTGCAACCATGAGTATGAAAGAGTTAATTTCCTGTCAGGTTGTTGATATTTACGGTACTAGAGATGGGATGAGCCCGAGTACCGACCACTGTGGGGGGCTACTACCCATCTTGAGTGCGTGTGGATAAGAATACCGTGTAAGTCATACATACTCTCCATACCCCTTCCCCATCTTGGACACACAAGGGGTCGCAATATGCATTATACGACCCATGGCTTTTACAGTGTTCTCCCGCAGGTCAATGGGAAGGAGTTGGCGCCCCCCGTCACTGACGACTTCGATGGCCCACTTAAAAACCGCGTCTGCCGAGATGTCATCTTTCTCATCCTCTTTATCGCCTTTGTCGTCGGCACAGTGAGTTACTCTCTCTTGTTTGTCACACCGGATATGTGACCGTGTGCCTTGGTCCATGCATGATTTATTTATTTATTGTATCTACTTGTACAAGAAGGTATAAATAAATAAAAATTATTTGTAATTAAACATGTATTGTTTAATTACGAAAATACTGTTGGAAAATTATTAGTTGGAAACAGTGCTCGTAGTGATGATTGTGTAATTTATGAAATACCTTGTAAAGACTGTAATAGGTTCTATGTAGGGGAAATATCTAAAGATTTGAAATATAGAATTTCGCAACATAAATATTTTGTAAAACACAGCCAATTGTCTAATGCTTTATTTGCTCATTTGTCAGAAAATTCTCACCAAATGGATTGGGAGATGGCTTCTTCAATAACGAATTGTAAAAATACTTTCAATAGGAACGTAATTGAATCTGTTTTAATACAGATTACCAAATCATGTAATTTGAATATTAACAGTGGTTTGTATAATTTAGATTCGTTTTTTATTGATCAGTTAAAGGACAATTTGAGTAGGATCATTGATACACATTTGTCTCACTAGTACTGTACCTTGTTAATATCCACTATCTTATGATATTAATATCCATGTATGGGGCTATTGGCCTATATGATGCAGCTCCTATTTATATTCACCCAATCCCATTCATATATATGTCACTGTATCCAACATTATGTTTTGTTAACTCACCTAGTATGTATTGTCATGGGGGGGGGGGGAGGGGGTGCACTGGGGCTCCACTAGCAGGGGGCTGCTAGGGGCTCAGGAGACAGTACTCAGTCTCTCCGATCATGTGACTCCCCAAAATACCTGGTCCCACAGAAGAGGACCAGTAATACCCACCACCGCAAGTCTTCGCTCCCACCACTAGGGGGTGCCACTGATTCGCCCTGGGGAGCCCTTCAGTCAACCACGGGGAAAGTATTAGCAATTCTGGCCTAGACCCATGAAGGAGTGAAGGAAGACCCAGGCTTACCTTTTAACAATAACTTACCCTGAGTCTTGCCTGCCAGACCCCCTCTGTGGTGCCTCCTTGCCGTGGTGAGGGGCTCACGTACACCTCACTGGGACCGGTGTGGGTTGCCTGTGCCCCCTCTCCTGCCCCCTCTTTGGGTGGTGTACATGCTGATGGGCACCATGTAGGGGCCTTGTGAGCCATCGGACCACCCGCTGAAGGGGTCGCCTGTGAGGGGCCGCCCTGAGTGGATGGTTGGGTGTCCAGGCTGGGGTGATAGGGGGACTGGGGTCTTAGCACCAGTGTGGGAGAATGGACGATGTAGTAGAACTTCCCTGTTGAAAAGGGGGAGCACCACTGGGGACGACGCACCCTTCCCGCACTGGCCCATGCTCGGCCTCCCTGGCTGCCCTGGTAGGTGGTATCCCTTGGTTCCAGGTCCCAACCTTTTGATTTTGTTTGCTGCATGGATGACGACACGACTTCTCTTACCCCAGGCTCATGGGGTGGGCGACCAGGCCCCTGAGTCGGACCATCCTGGAAGGCCGGGTTCTGAAGCCCCCGATACAGGGCCTGGTTTAGGCCCAGACCGGACTCTTCCTCCCTGCTCCCCTCTCTCCTCTGTGGTTGGGTCGAGCCCCAAGCCTGCTGTGGTGACTACCTCGTCCCCTTGCACGGCTCCATCTCTTATTATGACTACTGCGCCTTTTGACCTGTCTCTCTCTAAAAGTTTTCATGGCCGTCCCCGCCACGGCCGCTCTCGTATGCTCCCTTCCCATACTAATTCATACCATGCTTTGTCTGGTCCTGCTACGTGGACTAAATACTTTGACCTCCATCCTTTGGATTCAACTCCTGACGATTTTCCCTTCATTGGCATCTTGTAGATTTAGTAAATGCCTCTGTTACCTTTAACCCCACCCATGTTGGTACCCGTGTCGTTGCTGCTCCTTCTCAGGATGCAGCCACCCGCTTTGCCGCCTTATGCTGCCTTGGCGAGACCCCTGTTCGGGTCTCAAAGAACGCTCGGTTGAATGCCAGTGTTGGCACTGTTCTCCTACCGCACCATGTTGTGACCAGTGTTAGGAATTTAAGAGACTGCCAAGAGAATATCAAGCATATCCTCGAAGCCCAGGGTCATTCTGTCCTCCAGGTGGATACATTTACTCATCCCCCTCGTGGTCATCGCTGTCTGCCCCTTCGGGTTGTGAAGGTTACCTTTGATGGTAGGACCCTTCCGCCCTCTGTCATTCTTGCCGGTGTCAGATGCTCCATTCAGGAGTATATTCCATCTCCTCGGCTCTGCAATAAGTGCTGGAGGTTTGGGCATAGTGCCCTCAAATGCTCTAGTCCTGTCTCTCTGTCCCATGTGTGGAGGCGAGGGTCACTCTAAGTTGGAGTGCACTTCTCCCCAGGCCTGCTGCCTCAATTGCGGTGAGGCCACCCTACCTTCTCCCGCACATGTATACGTTACAAACTTGAGGTGGCCGTCCTTAACTTGAAGCACCGGGACAGTTTATCTTTTCCTGAGGCTCGGCTGTTCATAGTCTCCCCTCTTTCGCTGGCGTTTCCTATGCTCGCGTGGTGCGCTCTTCCTCTCCTCGTTCTTCCCACCTTCCTCAGTCTCACAACCGTTTCCAAGCCTTCGACCCGGACACGCTCGCCACCACCTCCCGTTTCCCTCCGTTCTGTCACGGAGGGTCCCCCTCTTGGTTCTCTGTCTAGGGCTCCCCTTCTTTCTACCCAGTCTGTCATGTCTCCTGTGTCTTCTTTTTCCTCTCCCTCTGGTCCTCCTCCTCGTCATTCTCCTCCATCTCTTGGCTCTCCACGCCACCTGACTGTGCAGGCCGATGTTCATCGCTCTCCTTGTGGTCGTGTTGTTCGCTCTCGCTCTTCTTCTCCCATCGAGACACTGGAGTCTGTTGCCCAGTACATTGCTGCTGGGCCGCCTGTCTCTTTGAGTCAGAAGCGGAAACCTGGCTCCTCTCCTTCCTCCTCCCCGGTAGGTAAGAAGGCTTCGCTTTCTTCTTCACCCCCTATCTCTGCTTCTATCGTTCCTTCCCCTCCCTCTTCGGTGGTGGAGCCCCCTGTTCCTACTATGGGGGGTTTCTTTTGCCCCCGGTTCCATCTCGGTTCGTGCCCTTGCTGAGGTGCGCTTCCCTCTTTCTGCCCCTCCTCCTCTTCCTTCTCCTCCTCCAGACCCTGCTCGTCCACCTCTGGTCTGTCCTCCTGCTTCTTTCCCTCCTTATTTACTCAGTTTACCCATGCCCCTTAACCCTGACTTCGCTGACCCTGATCCTGACCCAGTGCTTCTTTAACGTGCTGTGTTTCTTTTTCACCTTTGTTTCTTTGCTCTCTGTTGCTCTCCTCTCTCTCTTTTTTTGCCGATATCTGTTCTTCAATAAAACATCCGTGGATATTACGCCAATTTCCTTGACCTCTAACTTATAATTTTGCAGTTTTCGCCCCTTTGTGTCTGTCTCCAGGAGCCGATGCTTGGTGCTCGTCCTGGTCGATTCTGTGGCTATTCTTTTCTCTCCCCCCCCCCCCCCCCAGCTGTTGCTGAGGCCCATAATTCTTCTGCTCTCTTGATTCGCTACGATGTTCCCTTTGTCCCCTTACTTTTTTCCTCGCCTCTCCACTGTTCTCCTGCCCGTGTCTTTGTGCATTGATGGTACACCGTTTGTTCCATTTATCTCTCCCCCGCTGTCCCACTTTCTCTTCCCTATCTTAAACACCACCTAGACTCCTTGCCGGAGCCTGTGCTCCTGCTGGGTGATTTCAATTGTTGTCATGCCCTTTGGGGTGATGTGCTGACAAACACCTGGGGCCGACTCCTTGAACCTTTCATCCTCTCTTCTTCCCTGCTCCTCCTAAATTCTGGTGAGCCCACTTATTTGGACTCTTGGACCTGCTCCCTTTCCTGTCTCGATCTTTCTCTGTGCTCATCATCCCTTTCCTTAGTTTTCGGGTGGCTGGTTCTTGATGACCTTCATGGCAGTGACCATTTTCCTATCCTTGTTACTTTTTTCTCTTTTCATCCTCCTCTCTCCTTCCCTAGGTGGCGGTTTGTCAAGGCTGACTGGCGCCTCTTTACTCTCCGTGCTACTATTTCCGACCTCTCTGTTCTGCCTCTCCCTCGCGCCCTTCTTCTTTTTCATGACACTGACTTTGACGCTGCCCTCCACTCTATTCCTCACTCTTCCTCTCGGGGAATGCGGAAGTGCGTTCCCTGGTGGAATGTGGACTGTGCTCGGGCTGTCCGCTGTAAGTGGACACCTCTCCCCTTTTTTGTTGCAGCCTGGAAGAGACATCGCCGCTGGCAGACGGTTGAGTCTTTTATTTTGTTTCGGAAGGCGAGTGCGGTGGCCCGTAGGACCATCCGTGCGGCTAAACGTCCTTGCTGGATGCCTTATGTCTCCACCGTTACATTCAAAACAACTCTACCACTGGTCTGGAAGCGTATCCGCAAGATTGCGGGTAAGTTCGTTCCCAATGTCTCGCCGGTCCTTCGCCTAAATGGTACTCTTGTGGCAGACCTGTTGCAGGCCGCGACCAAATTGGGTTCCCATTTTTCCTCTGTTAGTTCTGGTTCTCATCTTCCCCAATCCTTTATTCTTCGTAAGCCTATTCTTGAATCTCGTCCTTTAAATTTCTGTACTTATCTTTGCCTTCCCTATAATGATCCCTTCTCTCTCTCTCTAAGCTGCAGTCGGCCCTAGCCCTTTGCGGTTCTACGGCGGCGGGCTCCGATGGCATTCATTATGAAATGCTTCGCCATCTCCCTCCGTGCACGTCTCAGTATTTACCGAGTCTGTACAATCGGGTCTAGGAGTCGTCGTCAGTCCCTGAAGACTGGCTCGATGCTGTTGTCCTCCCTGTTCGGAAACCAGGGTCTCTCGGGTCATCCTCCAAGGACTTCCGCCCTATTGCCCTCACGATTTGTGTCTGCAAGCTCTTTGAATGTATGGTTAACGTTCGTTTGATGTGGTTCTTAGAACACTATCACCACCTCTCCCCTTCTCAATTTGGT